GCCCGGCGTGTGGGGTCTGCGACCCGCGTACAAAGGCGGCCGGGCCCCTCGTCCTCCTCTCCGCGGGGTTTTGCTTCTACGCCGCAGGAAAGGATCTTTAAAGTTAGTACCGCCAGGCGCCCGTTGTCGGTGCCGTTCTGTTGTGGCAACGGGCTGTTTAACGTGCGGGGCGGGGCGGGGAGGCCAGGCTGCTCCCCTTGTGCGAATGTGAAAACGACCCCGCGTGATTCAGTGTTGAATACTCCTAGGAAACAAAGGGCTAAATTCTCACTTGCGGTCTTGAGAATTCCCTTTCCACCGGGATTGTACTGAAAAGCTTATCTTCCCTGCCCAGCCGCATTGCAAGGGTACCCCCCGTCTCCCCTGTCCCCTCTGCCTTTTTGGCACGTCCTCCTCCAGCACGCACCGGTAACTCCAGCAGCTCGTACCTGGCAGGCAGCAGAGGCTCAGTGCCAGGGCCAAACAGAAAATTTCCAAAGGTGACAGAACAGGTAGACTTGCGCTTCCTGCATCGGAAAGCCAGGAGAGCGGGTGAAGATGAGGGGCCAGCAGCTGCGGCTGAAGGTCGCCCTTCCCAGAAGCAGCGCTGGCCCCACTTTCCCGGCCCCTTGCTGGTAGCGGTAGCAGAAAGCTCAGCTGCTGCTTCTGCCCCGGCTCTGCGCCCTCCGCACCCTTCTTCAGGGGCAGGAGCTTCCCTCTGCGGTTGAGAAGCTGTTCTGCCCAAATTCCTGCGGCTGGCCCAGGCTTGCTATGGCGGCACCCAAGGAATGAGCAGCCTAACTGAGTGCTGGCGTGAGTGAGCATTCCCCAAAAAGGAATGAGGAGCTGGGAGGGTGATTCACAGGCACGAGACGATTCCCTAGAAATCAAATGCCTGTCCTACATGCGGCACGCTCCCGGGGCTCTAGGCAATGGCCGCATGCCCAGCACTGGTGGCTTCTCCTTCCACAGAGCCCGTGAGGTTGGGTTTCCAATGGCTGCTGCGGCAGCGCGGCCCCGTTGGCACGGTGTCCCAGCAGAGAAGCCACATTCGTGCTCCGGGTTCTAACAGAGCCTTGACGTAGGCTCGTCTTTACAGAAATGGTTTGTATCACTTCCTACCTGGACTATAAATGATCTCAATCATTTCTTGCATCTGTTGTAAATGGAAGGCTGGAACAGTGCATGCCAGCCTTGCCTCTCTTTGCTTTGTGAATCAGAGGTAAATAATCAGTTAAAGAGTAAATTAGCTCATAATGGGAAAGGCATCAGTATGGGGAAAGATCTTCCTTGTCCCCTAGGCCTGCAAAATATTTCATTTTGGCTGAAAGTTTCTTGCATGTCACGTACTTCAAAAGTTTTAGTTGACTTCTTAGCTAGTTCTTATTTAATTACAATTAAATTTTCATTCCTAGGAGGCTGGGCTGAGTTTTAGCCTCTGCTGATGTCTCGCTTTCCAAAAGCCACTCTGAATCTGTGTCATAATCTGTCTCTTACACCAGCCCTACTCCATTTGGCGCGGGTAGATAGATTTGCTCATCTCTCTTTTCAAGTGTACTTTTATTAACAATGCACTTCTTCTACTGCAAGATCACAGACTGTTCTGGCTCAATCTGATTCTGATCCCGGCTACAGTCTAACTCCAGGAACAAAAGGGAATGAGCATGAAGGGCATGCTTAAATTCTGAGGTCAAAATGCTTATCAGTCTTCTACCATGAGGTGGATCACTGAAAAAATGGCATATGAAGAACCCTTTGAAAATATGTAATGGTTACACTCAAAAAATCAAGACCCAAGCAGGGAAAGGATAGAAAAGGTCGGGAGGACATAGGACAGGAATATACTTTTTGTTAACATCTACGTATGTGAGATCTAGCTATAGCCCACATTGTGATTGCAGCTCGTGAAAGGTTACACTAATATTAATGCACACATGTAAGATGTTTGCACTATTCCAGCAGGACTTTTTCATTGCTGTGATCCTAAAATGTTCTGGCAATTAAACTTAAAAATGGCAGTTGCTGATATAAATACCTATTTTTAAAAAGTCTAATCAAGTTTACATTTTAAATTGAAAACTACAAGCTCTCGTCACCGTTTTTTCCATAATTCTTCTGCCTTCATTGTTCTTTACAAGAACTTCACTGTGGTTTCCTGGAGTGTAAAGACAATAATTATTTGATTATTACATTTCAACTTTCACTATTGATTAGTTGGCAAGACTGCAAAGTCGATTTGCCTGTTTGGGAGCCTCTCTGCTAAATGGAAGATAGTTCAAACACAGAAAAGAGCTAAAGATGGCCTAAAGGATATGCTAACATGACATAATTGTATGAGCTTTAAGCATGCTTTGTGGAGTTTTTCCATTAATATTTTAATACACCATTGTAATATACTGTTAGCTTTAATGCAGTAGTGAGTATACAGTGTTCACAATTTGTGGAAAAAAATGCACTTTGGGGGGAAAGATGGGCCCAGATCAGGCCCATTCCCTGAAATGAAAGGCTCTAAACTACTGGTAAGGGATCAGGAAGAGAGAAACATAGGAGTGGCAGTAAGGAAAGTATAAGATTGTGTATATTCTTATCTACATACACAGATTAGAGGTTTAATCGGTTAAGTAAAAAGGCAGCAGGTACACAAAAGATATTCATCAGAGTGCCATACGCTAGCCATTACCATTAAAAGCTTGAAATATATTGTGAGAGAGGAAATTCCTAATAGATACTTGAAAAGGACAGGGCAATAACTATGCAAATTAATGTCAGAAGGGCAGCCTACGGACAGTGAATGGCGGGAAAGGAACAAAGATTATGCTGCAGCAGCAACCTACTTTTGCTCTTTTGGATTTTGAAAAAATAACATGGAACACTGCAGTATGGCAAGTTTTTACTCCTGCAATCCTGGGCTTTTATCCACCCCTTGAAATGATCCTGAGAATTATTACCCACAAATATGAGGACCATGTAAACACTGTTAAGATTTGATTTTCACATGTCACTGAGGAGAAACAAGGTGCTTGATATTATTTTGTGATACAGTTTTTGCCACACATCTTGGATAAGAGGAAAAAGTATCGCATAATATTGTGAGATGCACGTTCATGAAAGATGACCAAACACATGAGGCCTTCAGGCAACAGGAATTAAGAACGTTATTAATATTTGAGAGTTGCTGTCAACAGAGGATACGTTTATAATGGAGACAGATTTCTTAATACAATTTTTGTGACCTCTACAAGCAAATCTTCCTGTGATTACACCATTGACAGATTTCCCTTTCTCTCCCTAGTAAGTCCTAAATACCATATAAATTATATTTGCAAAGACATTACAGCTGTTCACTGCACGTCTGTGAAAATAAAGGATTAATCACTGAGCAAATAGTACAGTAATAAATGGCACTAAATAGCTGCAGTATGTTTGGTATGTGCAGTCCATTTCAGACCATCTGTTTTTGATCTTTTCAAGAGGAAATCTTCCAAGAAAATACCCACAGAAACCGATGAAGAGATTCAGCGTTAGAAAATACTTCTAGCAACAATTTTATTGGTGCTGCACAATATACAGTCAATCTGTTCACTCAAAAGCTTACTTATCAGTTTTTGGGTTTTTTCCCATTCTCATGCAACGTTGTGTAATTTAGCAAAAGACTCTTGTCCATGGGATGGATTGCACAATCAAATAAATATATCATTCCTTTAATGCAGCTTCTTCTGAACACCCTGTGGGAATACAGCCTTCTATTCAGTTCAACAATTGCCTAATTTTCTCAAATTTAAATTAACTCTCAGGCGAACACCAGTATTTTCGAGACCAACAGGGAAAAAAACAACCCACTTTGCCAAAATACGTTTCCCAAGACTCTGAAGTAAGGGACTGTGAACTAATTGACATTAGAAAAGTTTTATATGCAACTGATTCACCGGCTGACATGATACCACCTGCCAACTGTTTTATCTATCTACTTAGGTCTAGGCCACTAACCCCTCTGATGTATCGATATCCCTTTTTCTATTAGAGCAACGGATTTAAATGCTGAATTTTCCTGCATCTAATCAGTGCAGAAAAAAAAGGTTGCAAACCAGAGAGGAGCCAGGTAGCCTCTGACACACACTGGAAGGGAGGGAAAGCTGCAGTGCAGTGCAGGTGTGAGGGTACCGATGGGTAGGTGGAGCGGTGATGGGATCAGCATGCTGCCAGGACAACACTTGCTGTAACTGTGTTTATTTTGCAGAGGATGTTTATTTTACAGAGAATGCAGTGTTGCAAACAGAACCTTCCCCTACACCCACCTGCAACACCTGACCTGTAACTGGTACCTCAGCTCATCTAGGCAGGAACAGTCCTGAGGGGATCGAGCTGGGGTGAACAACGGGTACTCCTGAATACTGTAGCAACACTGCAGCCGTTGAACGCGCCCTAGCGCTCACCTTTAGCTAACCGGTACCAGCTTCCTTTAAATACCACCTTGCGGAAGAGCCCGCGGTGATTTGATAGCATAGTCCTATACCCACAACGTGGATTTTATTTACGTGACTGTCACGGGGGGAATTTAAGTACTGTCCAAGCCACGAAGGGTCCAGCTTGTGCGGCTGCGGGGGAGCCGAGCGAGAGTACGGATGAGGGCAAACCCTCCCTGCACCAGACCTGCGGGAGAGCACCCGTTCCTGAGGCCGCTCTCGAAACTCACTCGCGCCGTTAGAGGGCAGAAACGACACCTTTCCCGGTTGGTGCTTCTGGACGTCACCTTTCCTTACGGACGTCAACGGGAATTGACAGCCACGGCCACGCAGCTTTCCCGCTTCGCCGGGGGTTCCCATTTGGAGCCCGGCAGCGACCGCTTCCAGTCAGGCCTACCGGGGCCTGCAATTACACAGTGCCTTCCCGGCCCCCACACCGCCTCGCTCC